CCGCGGCTGACCCCAACCCCAAAGACGCACACCTCATACTGTGGGAGATGCGCTTGTGACCTCATTCAAAATCCATATCTTCTATTATAGCAGTCTATCGGCAAATGATGTTATGTTGTAAATAAAATGTATGATATTGTGTAAATTCCACCTTCGTTATTGCGTAAGAATTGAGTTATGTTGTGCTAATCGATTATAACGTGTCCTCGGCCGCCTCGGTTACTATGAAGAGTATTTATGTAAAATTAAAAAATTTACACTCAGTGTAAAATGTGATAAGCTTTAAATTATTATTGATGTGCTTCATGACATGGCCTCTTACAATCGATATTATTAGACATATTTACAGACACAGGTGCATTATTTTTGTTAATTATATTAAAATGTTATAAAATAAACAGTTATCAGTCAGGGGTATGTTAGCTTCGGAATAGCCAAAATTATATGCAAAAAAATAATCAATGCAATAGAAGTATAGAATACAATACACAAATTAATTGTTCTTATTAATAAAAAAAAAGTCGTCCATAAATTAATTATCTATGAAGTTAACAGTATCCACCACTGGCTGAAATATTGTGGTATTTGCATGGCATAATGTTGCATTGTTTGAAAGTTACTTGCATATTTGCAAAATGTATTATAAGACGTTTTCACATCTTAAAGTTTTCAATCTGAAATGTAATTTTGTATCGTTATTACGAGTTTGTTAATGTTAATGAACCGCCATATTAACTTAGATTATGTATAGACAACTGTTTAAATGTCCATTGTAAATTGATCTTTAATTTAAATTTATTTGTATATTTTATTAGAGACCAGGTTAAATGGTTTTAACCTTTGTAATGTTAGTGGCCTTATATTGAAATTCCCAGTGTACGATTTACGGCATTCGTTTAAGCTTTATTCTTCATGTTGTCGCTTTAAGAATTAGACTGATTTAGCGTAAGCGTTCAAATGTATTATTAGTTGAATTGTAATAAGACGAATAAACGATATCTCGATCGAACAAAACTTTTCGATTTATTAAAAAAACGAACCCGTAAATATTTACACCGAATTTCATTTAAAATGCATTTTTTGTAAATAATATAAGAATATTATTAAGTTTATTAACATTATTTGTATTTACTTCTGATTTACTTTTTGTCACAAAATGGATTTTAATGTTTCCATTCACAATGTTAATTTTTAAAGTTGATTTCATGTTTTTCGACCATATAGTAAGTTTTAATAGTTTTTGTTACAAATTTAAAACCCGTTGTAACATCGAAGGGACAGGACTATACAGTCATAATAACCGATAGGTTCTATAATCGATGTATTAGAAATTTGTTATAGTTTCGTTCACCCGGGACATAGCGCGGTTCACACTTGGCCAGTACAGTAGACAATGAGTCTATACAATCTATGGTCCTCTCAACTCTACATCTGTACTGGCCAAGTGTGTACTGTGCATTATTTTTGGCCGCCATATTTAATGTTTGAAAAATTGTGTTTTCATAAAATGCTTTCACAATTTTGTGATTCATTGTTACAATGTTAAAGGTCAGTAATTGATGAAAATATATTGTTTATCCCAAAGAAATACTATTTGTCTCAGTTGTATATTTTTGAAGGATTTACTTGTTAAATAAGTTTATAAAATCGAACTCTGGCTTATCATGTCATTGTGCCAAAATTAATATTCTAGACCACAACAGCGGATATAAGAAATGTATGCATCTCATATTAAATTTATTTTATTAATTATATCTCTGTTTAAATGAAATAATTGAAAATGTGAATATTTCTCGAATGTCTTATGAACAACAGCTTATTACCAATCTCGAAATTTATTTTTTTAAAATAATAAAGAAACGTCACAATGTGTATGTATTATGGTGTAAATAAATTAAGTTTATAGATACACCTGTAATCCGTGATTTTTATTGACCTTTACAATATACTAACTTGGTTAACAAATAAAACTAGTTACTTTTTATCCTATTTATTCATAAATTTTCTAATACTAGTAAAATTACAAGTTCTCTGTTTTTATATTGCTGTATCTATTTCATTCCACATCAGAAGCATTATGGTATATCTGAAACAAAGGAAAACACTTTGATAAGTTAGTTTTTTTTCAGACTGTTATCAAAATAACATCACTCTTAAGTTCGTTCCTTAGTGTAGTTTTACACCAATATTTTGTAGTTACAAACAGTGTAACTGATAACATACACAAACAACATAGACGAAACGATTAAAAAAGAAGGAAGTTTTGGTAATTCGGTTAAAAGTAACATACTGTTCCGTCTCTTGCATTCTCTGAGCGCTTCGTTGAAACCTGCGCAATCTGAGAGCTCAGCGCTATTGGTTGCGCAGTGCAGGAACTGGGCGATCTCGTACGCGCACGGGCCGCTGGGCTCCGCGCCGGGCTGGTAACTGCGCGGCAAAGCCTCCGCCACCTCGTGCCGCCGCGGACCGCTGAACAGGCTCGTAATCGCCTCACCCGCTACGTGACCCTACACCATACTTCAGTTATGAGAAATGATAGACAAAACATTAATTTGGACCAAGAAGAGATGGATGGATGGAGTGAAAAATACCAGAAATAAAAAAAAATAGACCGATTTGGATGGCACCGACCTTACGTAGTGGGATATACAGATGATAATGAAGTTTTTTGTATTTATGTCATACCGCTGCGGTGC